TTTTCTATTTTTTTGAAATATGCCTAATAAAAGTTTTTAGTTTTATATCAGAAACCACCTTCAAACTTGAATAGCGAAATATCCTTTCGATTATCCATCGTGTATACAAAGACAAACATAAAAAAAAATATTATAGTAAAAATAAAGATTGATAAATCTATTGTAACGTTACAATAGATTGATAAATCTATTGTAACGTTACAATGTTTTATTTTATTATGTTTTTTAAAGTATTTTAATTGAAGATTTAAGATAGACACAAATTATTCACGATATGCATCCTTAAATAAGTACCTATAATTATCAAATATTATAGTTATTAAAATCCATTATTTATTCTTTATTACTGTATTTTCCATTTCATAGTTAAAATATTATTGAAAAAAATTATTTTAATACAAATATTAAGTGAATAGTAAAAGCGTAACTTACTTGAAATCTGTTTTCCCGTTTTACCACGTTTATTATTTTAGAGACTACAGCTCTGATCTGTCCACTAAGGCAACTGAACTACGATTCACTGAAACTGGTTACGATTCGATTATCAAGACCAAGTTCAAGAATAATATCCCCACCTCAACTACTTACTATATTATTCTTATAACCATCATGGTGATTTCCTCCATTCTTTGATTTAAAATTGAAAAAAATATGCTATACTTCCAACATACTTTTAAAACTAAATATTTCAGAAAACCTTGAATATTGATGGTGTGAATTATTACATACAAATAATATTTGGTTCTCTATATAACAATAATTAATTTTTCAAAACATCAAATGTATTAAAGTAAATTAATTTAAAACGTAATTGAATTTTTCAAAATTTTTTGGGAATTTCCTGACTTTTGGATATGCCTAGGATAATCTTTCACGTTTTTTCAACGCCAAGGTCACAGAATAAATGTTTTAATTCTGGTTTAATATTTTTAGTATGTAGCAATAACGTTAAAAAATTATAACTGTATGAAATCGAATCGATGAAAAACAAAATTATTGATTTTTGTCGATGTAATAAGTTGACATTGTAGAAATAAAATAAAAATTCAATATTAAAATGAAAATACCGTTGCAAAATTGTATAATTGTAAATAAATTAACAAATAAAAAGTTATCAAATTACAGTACGTGTAATAACTAATTAGTAATTACTTTTAAATCGATTGCATTAAGTAGTTGCATATTGAAGGTGTTTCGGCGTTGGTCAATTAATCAGATACCCATTACATTACAATACAAGTAAATTAAAAATTAACGCTTTCATTATGTGTTTTAAATTTTGTATTTATAAATTAGTAGTTTGAATAATTTATATAGATTTAAAATACTGCTCTGGTTTAATAAAAAAAAAAGGGAAGAGTAAGTACCTAACTACGTTGTTGTACAGTAGAATTCAAGTGTAAATCGTCATTTGAATATAAATGTCACTGTAATGTATCATGGTCCATGAATGTGTTAAATTTGAATTCACTGATAAATACTTACATACGGAAAACGATTCTAACGAAAAGACAATTTGTTAACCTATTGTCATACTACACTACTACAGTATTGCTATCAATTATATTTTATTAACTTATTTTACTATACGTAATATTATAAAATTAATATTAATATTTTKAAAATGTGATTTTATGTACAAATTATAATAATTAAATTTGTTGAAACTTTCAAATATCCTCTATTAATTGTTTTTAATTATACCAAATCAACTAAAATTGTTATTCTTTGTTTAAAATGTGCTTACGTATTTTTATATTTTTGTTACAGCATTAACTAATTATGAAGAACATTGTGTTAAGGTTTCAATTATCAGTTAGAAAAACTGAAGATTTTAAAAATTTTAACAAAATCTGTCAACATTTTAACCTAAAATGCTTAAATAAAAAAAACCCCGTATCAATGAATCTTTAATATTTTTGAATTAAAAATAACTATAAATACAATTTATAAGAAACCTTAAACTAAATTTTAAGGTTTTACCGAGCAACAATGTT